GATGCTGGCAATTCAGATGTGCCAAAGAGGAGCCTTCATAAAGTGCTTACTCTAAGTAAAAAGGTGAAGGTTCTTGTCTTAGTAAGGAAAGAATATAAATCCTATGTTGAGGTTGCTAAGACCTACAGTAAGAAGAAATCTGAGAAATTGTGAAGACAGAAAAAGAAATTCACGATAGTTTTGCTACTGCACCTCAAACCGTAAAACTTACAAGCACTGTACATGGTAAGTGCTTAGTGAAGGTAGAAAAGGTAGTACATTTGTGGGTGGAAGACATGAACAGAAAATTCTGTTCTGATTGACAGCAAGCAACCAATGTTATGCCAAGAAGCATTGAGCCTACAGGGGCTTTGGGATGGGACCCTCTGAAACAAGTGACCATATTCACACAACTTATTACAGCGTATTGTTACAACTGTTCTATTTTATTTTTAGTTACTGATGTTCATCTCTTACTGTGCATAATTTAGCAATTAAACTTTATCATAGGTATATATGTACAGGAAAAAATAGTATACACTGTACATAGAGCTTTCAGTACTGCCCTCGGTTTCAGGCACCCACTGGGGATCTTGGAACATGTCTCCCACGGATAACAGGGGACCACTGTACATCCTCCCCACTCCAGGAAGAAAGTGGAGTTTAATTCTCTCCTACTCCTACCTTCTTCCCCCAATGCAGGGTAAGACTTAGTAACTCGCTTCCAGATTAGAGTCAAGAAAGAAGGGAAAGACAAGTAACTTTCTTAACCATATAGTCGAGGTTACACATCACCAATGATGTTATGTGGGCACCCGATATGGTAAGATGGGAAAGGCACTTCACTTGTATGGTATTTCTACCCCAAACCCGTAACACTAGTCTAATCAGGAGAAAACACCAGACAAACCCAAACTGCGAGACATTATACAAAATACCTAACCAGTACTCCTCAAAGCTGTCAAGGTCATGAACAAACAAGAAAAGATTTAAAAACTGCCCAAGGCCAGAGGACACTAAGGATACGTGATGACTAAATGCAATGTGGTATCCTGGATAGCATCCTGGACTAGAAAGATGCCATCTGTGAATCCCAAATCAAGCCTGGAGACAACAGCAAGGTACCAGTGCTGGTTTCTTAGTTTTGAAAACATCCTATGATAATGTAGGATGTTAGTAACAGGAGGAACTGAGAGAGGAGTATATGGAACTCTGTACTTTTCTCTGAACCTTTTAAGTCTAAAATGATTTGAAAATAAAACATTTATTTAAAAACATTTGGCACATGATTCTCTGTAGCTTCTTTGATGGGTACATCATTTCATGATTTGGTAATGTCTTTTTTTTTTTTTTGGTAGTCCTAACACTAACAGATGATCATTTATTACTGTTTTTCCCTCTGGGGGCTCCATGTGGTATTTGAAGCTAATGAGTACATAGGGCATCTCTCACTGAAACAACTGGAGCACGCGGAGACCTACAGCTGAAGCTGATTGAACAGGAAACGTGATCTCTGTAAGACCACCGGTCCAGGACTAACCAGTGGCAGATGTCTGTCTCAAGGCATTTTTATTCTTTAAAAAAAAATTTTTTTATTGGAGTTCTGGCTGGTGTGGCTCAGTGAGTTGAGTGCAGGTCTGTGAACCAAAAGGTCGCTGGTTCGATTCCCAGTCTGGGCTGGGGGCGCTGCATGAGAGGCAACCACACATTGATGTTGCTCTTCCTCTTTCTCCTTCCCTCCCCACTCTCTAAAACTAAATAAATAAAATCTTAAAAAAAGTTTTTATTGGGCATTTTTTATTCCTTTCTGAGTAACTTTACTCTCACAAGTAGGCAGCCTCTCAAGCTGGTTGATAAATAGTCACTAGTTCTAAACGTGCCTCAATGTAAAGGACAAGTAAAACCTCAGGCTCTGGGTCAAACTGGGGTACACTGTAACTCACGCAGGAATTTTAATCCCAAGGAAAACTACTCAAGTAGCAAGCAATAAATGAGAGGTCGAAATGACCAGACCCTAGTTACCAGTGCCGGGGTATCAGCCATCCCAGGTCATATACATCCAGTCCACAGGGTGACTCCCCCAAGGAAAATAAAGAACCACCCCCAAAACTCAGGAACTTGTTCAGAATCAGCCGATCGTTATAAACATATTACCACTGTATTAAAAATTACATTTAAAGAACAAAAATTAAATCAAAGATAGGGAAAACCAGGGTCTACCCCAGCTGTCAGGTCCCTGATGCTGAGAACATGAGAGGCTTGCTTATTTGCGAAGCGTTGGGTTGGAAGTCAAAACAAAAAGCAATTCAATGTATGATTTCATTTATGTGAAATGTCCAGGACACACAAACCCACGGAAACAAGAAGCAGATTAGTGGTTCCCAGGGGCGGGGGAGAAGTAGAGAACGAGGAGAGACTCCTAAAGGGTATCAGGTTTCTTTTCTGGATGATAAAAATGTTCTGAAATTAGGTAGTGGTGACAGTTGCATGGCTGTGAATACACTGAGAATCACTGAATTGTACACTCTAAAAGGATGAGCTTTATAGTGCACGAACTATATCTCAGTGAGAAAAAAGCAACGCAAACGAACAGAAAGCAATGGAGAATGTTCCTTGGCACAACGGGACTCCGGGAGCGCGGAAGTGCCAACAGCACAGTCAAATCGAGAAAGTGGATCCCCTACACATTTTTTAAAAAGAACAACACTTGAATAACAAAAACAAAGAATTAGATCCAAAAACTGAGGCCTATTTTTTTCCTAGCTTAAAATCCTTTTGACTTGAATGGAGCCATCTGAAACAAAAATATATGTCAAAACCCCTGGAATTATAACTTGTTTGGAGAGTGATTCTAGAACAGGTAAAACTGTCTTTGGATTTCATTGTGGCAAATAATCTAGAATGCATCTTGAAATATACAATAAGATAAAAAACAAATAAAAGATCTGCCGGAGTAGCGAGGGCAGACACTCCTTGGCGGGGTGAGATGCTGATACGGTCGGTATGTGAACCTCGAGCGTGCTTTCTTCACGAAGAGCTCCCTGAAAGCAGAGACTGTTCACTGTTCTGGTCCCTGCACTTAGTACAGAGCAGGCGCTCAGTAAATATTTGATGAACAGACCAAGTTCATCAGGCAGCTGTGAACTGGCTTGTTGGTCAATGCAAGAATCTCAAATGAGTTTATTTTAAAAATTGGCATTACGTTTTTTTTGCTAGAAAAGGAAAAACTCTCACTTAAATCACTAAACAGCTGTGAGTCAACTAGTCTGAATACATATGTAAAGCAAAGCATCTTAGCTAATGAACCTGTCTCCTAAGTGCGCATGGGTGAAAGCTTCTATGACAGCCTGAGGGAGGGCAATCGTGTCAAGGCTGGCTGTGCCACCTGTTACTTTAAAACCCGAACACCCTGTTTCCTAGTGAGAAAACTGTAAAGGGGTAAGAATTATGACAAGGTTTTGCAGTTTGGTTGATATGAATAGTAGGGAATAATCATACCAGTCTGCTTGTATTTTATCCTTAGGTAACGCTTCTAACACTCAGTGTATAAAGCAACAAGATACCCAGAAGTAACTTTCTAGTCTTATCACACTTCATGTTATAGTTGAGATTTTAACCATTATTTCTGTTATTGTGCTGTAGGTATTTATATCTGAAGTTTTTTCAATCCTTGGATCTTTTATCCAGAAATATTATTTTCTTTCCTCCATTCCTTGCACTTCTAAAATACTGATGAATAGGCAATCACTACTACTTGAAACTCCTTCCTGGCCAGATCTCTGCAAACAACAGCCACGGATTTCCAAGAGGTAGTCACCACCCTGCTTTTCCCAAACTTCCCATCCTTCATTTCCTGTGAGTGCAGCCAACACTTAAAAACCGCTATCATTTAGGAGATTCCTGGATTAGAACCCTCTGCACTTTGATGCCAGCAGCTGTTAAAACTCAGTATATTAGAAAATCAGGTTGCCTCTTCCAAATGAGGAATCCCAGGGAGGGCCTGCAGCCAGACCCCCACCAGCTTTTTAGGCCCCATCTGTTATGACAGATGCTGTCACATGCCCATCACAAGACTTTCAGAGCTTGGTGCTTCGAGAACAGCTTTCTGTGCCCGTGCGACGGGCTCGGTGGCTCACATGGTGGGAATCCTGTGTTGTGTTCAACTACACTCTGAAGGAAACTTGTTCCTGCTTCGGAAAATTTTGTTCCTGTGCTTCACAAATCCTGCCAAGTTTCTTAATGTGAATATTTCTTCAGAGATGGAAGCCAGAAGAACTCTTTGGTTATCCAGACACAAAATACGAAGACTGTTTATTTGGGAGCAGCCTGTCTTTCTTCAAAAGTACATTTTGTAGAGTCATGGCCTACAAACAACTGAAATAAAAAACCATCTGCAGGGACTACGGCTTCATAAAAAAAGAAAACGAAACAGAAAATACAGCACTCCAGTATCTGTGGGAGAAGGAAAGGCCAAAAACCACGGTTGGTTTTATACTCACCAGAACAGCTTGGGTGAAGATGAAGTTGGGTAACAATGTGATTTTCACACACGGTATTTTAGTCTGGTTTTAAACCCCACGCCCACTTTTTAAAAAGTGTAACTGAGCTTTGGTTTCTTTCATTCTTTAGAAGACATCTTTGGAGAAATTTGATGATTTAAAAATCAGTCACCAAGTGAATTAGCATCCCCTAGTCCTAATACATACAGTGGGACCCTTAGTTATTTAAAAACTGCCCTTAGGTTGCTCCCACCCCGAAAGGTTTTCTGGTTGGTGTTGGAAAGAAGCTTCCTGGACTTCCAGAGGGGCGCTCCCATGCGAGCACAGGTGCTCCCCTTACCCAGAAGCAGCCTGCATTTCCCCACTGAGACGCACGCACACGCTCTCCCTCTCTTTCTCCCTCTCCCCTCACCTTCGCGCCCTCCACAACCTCCCGGGAGATGAGATGCGGGTTAGCCAGCAGACAGCCCTCCCAGAGATGGGCACACATGCAGCAGCTATCGAAAGGAGAAGTCACTTTGCTTTCTTTTAAACTTGCAATGTTTGTCTTTATTTTGTTCTTTATATTTTGAAAGTGAAAAGAAATAGTATTGAGTCAATTTCTTTTTGTTTTTTTAAATATTTGTTCTATGTATTTACAAGCCTTATAGTTGCTCTAAAGATTTCAAAAGTATTAAGAGTACTTTTCCAAGGGTAGCACTTTTTTTTTTTAAACAATTCTTGGAGTTCTCTGGTCCACAGCATTTCCTTCTGTTCCAAGGTTATGTATGTTTGATTACTATTGAGATTTTTTTTTAAATTTTCTGAAGCAAGCTGAGAGGCAGGCAGAAAGATTTGATGCCAAAAAAAAAAAATCTTTCTTACCTTGTTCACCCCAAACCTTCTTAAATCTGGACTAACTACTATGCTTTAAAACAAACTTGAGGTGCATCTGAAGGGGAGGGAAATTTATTTCTCTGCTTTTCTATTATACAAGTTGTTTACAGAAACTGCAAATTAAAAAATTACACTGGCATTTGCAGTCCTTAAAATAAATTAAAAGTTCTCAACTTTTTTGCTAAACAGATGTGTTTTTTTAAAGTATGAGTCCTCGTTTAAAAAGAAAAGATTATAACAGAAAATATTTTCTATAAATAATACATGTATTTTGGTTTTAGTGCTCCCGCCCTCAGGTTGAAGTGTACTTATTTCCAGTACCTTTTTCCTCCATGATCACCTTTGTTCTCTTTCCCCTCTCCCACTCGTGCACACGTGGGGGTTTCTGCGAGAATTGGCCTTGCTGCACTGTGATTGGCGAAGACGTGAAACTTTTTAAAAAAATACTTAAATTGTTTCTTTTGTTTCTTTTTGTGTATTTGAAATTTTAGTTATCCTCAGATTCCTCTTCTGCTTCCCGAAGCCACGTAAAGAAGGCCGTGACAGACTTCAGGGCCACACCCTTCCCGTTCTGCTCTGCGGGGTCCTTGCTGCTTTCCCATTTGTAGAAGGCATCCTCGGAGATTACCTCTTCGTCGTACAGACAGTCAAAGAACATCCGTAGCAAATCTGTAAGGAAGTGAAAATGAACGATCAGTTTTGGGGACGCTGCAGTTGTGAAGGAAAGACTGTCCTTCTAAGCAATGAATGAACACACAATGAATTCCCCTCGAGAAGAACATCCACGACAATGCATTATTCTCCCTCTTGCTAGTATAAGCAGCAAAACGACCTGTCTAAAGAACAGGAAAGAAGACTTAAGCAGTATAAAGGATTTCTTATTTGTTATTTTGTTCAATTTGAACTAAATTTCTGATATTGCTGGGCTGTTTAATATTATGTAGTTGTCTACCTAAACACTTCAAAAACTAAATATAAAATAATTATTTTATCCATTTCTTTATTTGAATTCTACAATAAAAACATATTATTTTTTTACAAATTTTGGGAGGTAACAGCAGGATATACTCCCCCAATATTATTTTCAAAACGAAAACAATAATAATTTATAGAAAACACGGGTAAAAACAACCTCACCTGGATTTTATCCAGTGAGATGACAGTCAATTTGTTGTTTCCAATGCTCAGGTAATCTGGGCGGTTTTAATTCTCTGTTTGGTTCTCACAATGGAAACTTACTTTATATTATTGTGCAAAAAATGGAGAAAGCTATTAAGGCCATAAAACCCAACAGAGGGCTTTACATATTCTTTGAAAAAAAATTCTTTTCATTACGGGCTCTTAAAACTCATTTAAACTGAGCTCGCTGATCATTCATATTAATGGAGGGAGGCAGTAGAATAAATAATTGCTAATAAACATTAGGTTTACAATGAGTCTTATTAAAAAATTTTTAGATTTATCTTTGTAATTTTATTAGTCAAGCCAATAATGAAGTCACTTCATTCTCTAAACCCGAGTTGGTCAATGGGGAAATGGAAGCAAGTGGCAATCATTATATTGGTACTAAGTCTAGAATTAAACATCTCTCCAGGGATTACTGAGGCTGATAAATTACGGGAGATACTTTGACTGGCTGAACACTCAGCATCAATTTTATCCAACTACTTAAGCATCTCTTGAGAAGTTAGTGTCCTCATTCTATAAGAATAAAAAAGGAAGCCATAATGTTAAACAACCTTTCGAAGGTCTGGACAGAGAGAAAACAAAGTCAAATTAACTCTCCTATTCAGGCTTGGATGTCTCGAGTTAAACCTTGAGGATTACCTGTTTCAATCTTTCCCTTTATCTCCTAGAGCAGCATTTTTCAACCTTTTTCATCTCATGGCACACATAAAAAATTACTAAAATTCTGTGGCACACCAAAAATGTAATTTTTGTTGATCTGACCAAAAAAAAAAAGGTATACTTTTAATTCATTCACATCAGGCAGCTATTTTGTGTTGGCTACTGTCATTTTTTTTAAACTTGACACAGGAAGGGAAAAGGGGTCAGCGCCCCCAGCTAAACAGCCAGGCAGAGCCGTGTCAGCAGTCCGGGGCGCACAGGGGGAAGACAGCTGTCCTAGAGGGACTCGCCGGCACTGGCTGAGAAGGACGACTTGCGAAAGCCACAGCCTAAAGAAGCGCCAAAGAACTGCCTCAGTGCTATCTCTGCAACAGCCACATAATTTCCACTTTCACAAGCTTCAACTGAATTTTCAAAATGCAACACAATTCAGTTAATTTACCAACACCACCAAGGCTTAGGTGTCAGGTTCCTTATTTGTCTGATTAGCCAGCCTTAGCCATAGCCCTTAACTGAAAACTAGCCTAAAATGCCTTACTGGCTGCGTTGGGAGCCTGGGGATTCTGAAGAGTATCATTCTCCTTCGCTATTAAGACCCATTATCAAAAAAAGTGAAAAATTATATAACACACAGGCTAATACTGAGATGCCCTAGACCTGCATTGTCCAATAGGGTTCCTACTAACTGTGGTGGCTGTTTACATTTAAATAAAATTTAAAATTTTGTTCCTTAGTTACAACAGCCACCAGACATATGTGACTCACAGCTGCTACACTGCACAGTACAGATGTATTTCCGACACTGGCGCAAGTTTTATTAGACAAACCTTTTCTAGAGTGAGGATTAAATATCTAATTTAAACTACTTATCATTTTCTCATAAAAGTACACAAAAAATTTAGGTTTATTAAAGTTGCTGGTTATCTGAGTTTTTGTTACTAGTAATTCTTCTATTACCTCCTGTTCGAACTCATCTCATCAAACCACTGCTGAAGTCTCGGCCTGGATTAAGTCTCACCCACTGGCTGGGCTAACTGGAGCAAGAGGTAAACTTACTGGCAGGCTGATCAAGTTTTACTATTGACGCCTGTAGTGCATAAAGTGCTTGCAGTTCCTTCTCTGTGTCCGAGTCTAGGTACTTGAGTAAGATCGGCACTCTCTGCTTGATCACAGCAGTGTCCACTCGGAAGGTGGAAGAGTCGGCTAAAGGTGACAGAAGAACCAAGAATTACATTTAAGGAAATAACATGAGGACCATTTTCAACTTCTGGGTCTTTCCGACGCATCTGACTCTACAAGGAAAGAAGAAGCAAGGGGGTCCAGGGTAAAGATTTTTGAAAATCAGAATGTTCTGAAATGCTTAATGGGACATTCCTTCTGAAATAATAAAAACCCTGGAGGGGGACGTGTTTTGAGTGCTGGGTTCCCTCGAGGGCGGACCCAATTCTTTAGCTTTAATCATGATGAAGCAGGTACATTGGTTTTATGACATTCCAAACTAGAAACGGAACATTAAAAAGGAAATTAGAGTGGTAGTTCATGCAAATCTTTTCAGAAGGGTAAAAGACTTAGAACTATTTTATTTATTGTGAGGAGGATACGGACTCACTGGGACAAACGCCACGGCTGACCTAGGCTTTTGGGGGGAAGGCACGATAACGAGGGGCTGAGGAAGGCATCCTCAGTGCCAAGGAACGTAAGGCTGTGTTTCCTCTGCAAGTCACCAGTGGGACACAATCTTGTTTTTAAAAGCAGCTTTTATATATTCCAACCCTGATTTTAAAGTGTCAAAATCTCATGTTTCTACAGATAGTGGAAATGATTTTTAAAAATTTAACAAAGACTTTCTACTTAGCTTGTTGTTCACCTCATTAAAGAACTAACATGGAAAGTCTTAAATTACCGTTCTGAAGCTATCTTTGAGATGATAAAGAGAGGCCTGAAATTATGAAGCGCTTTTGAGCTGCTGGATTTTTCTTTCCTATTTCAGTGATGGAAATGCCTACCTGAGGCTATGAGCATGATTTTGTTAAATAAATATTATAGGCAGCTTGGAATATTTAAGAGTTTCTACCAATCCTAATCCCATCTATGAAATTCATCACCATTCAATAAAATCGCCTTATATAAAGTCAACATAAAGTAGGAGAAGCAACTGGCATTTTCTTTCCTCATACATGTATTTATATAAAATGGTTTTCCTGTTGACATTAGTCCTTGATTAATACTAGGTTCAGAATATCCAACCCATTCATTATAACTTTAAAAAAATTTTTTTTCTTTTAACATTTTACTTATTTTTTAGGGAAATGGAAGGAAAGGGGAAAGAGAGGGAGAGAAACATTGATTGGCTGGCTGCCTTTCACGAACCCCACAACCCACTCACGTGCCCTGACTGGGAATCGAACCGACGACCTTTGAGGTTGCAGGCTAGGGCTCAATCCACTGAGCCAAACCAGCCAGGGCCATTCATTACCACTCTTGAAGGGAGGGATGAGGAAGCTTTCAATGTTGGGGGTAAATGAGGAAAGTAACATGTAACAGTGTAAGACAACCACAGGCATGCAGTAGTTGCTCAGACCTCCCCCCGCTTGAGACAGCCAGGCGTTGTAGACAGAAATGGCACCCATTTGCACAGGAATGGAGCTATACAGGGCAAGTTTTAAAGGCAATTTAAAATAGGCCCAAATCATCAGTATTTGACATAGTGGGGATTTCAGATGTTAGCTTTCCCTTTAGAAATGTTACTTACCTATTATAATAGCTGCTTTACAAACAGCTGTCATTAAAGCTCTAAGGAATGTAGGTGAACTCATCTGGGCTTCATCTAGATTAGCCTGATATCAAAAGTAAATGGAACAGTTAAAGGTATCCTTGCACACCAGAGAAATTATTTCTCATAAACTAGGTCTTAACTGGCACTAAGGGCAGATGGGGTCACATTCAACCTTCTAGCAAAAATTAATCTTCTGATTCACTGAAAAATACTTAGGCTACTTTCAGTTATGTCTGAGAATGTTCTAAGTAGCAGTGTTTAGCTTTCAGGAGCACTATCACTGCTGATCTTTTGCTCATTCCATTATACAGCACTGTGTACTATATACATTTGGAAGTGGAATGATGTAAAAACATTTTTCTTCCTCGATAAATAGCCCATATTAAGATGATTTATCCAAATCTATAAATTTGAAAGATCTTTTACAACAACAACAGTATATTTTAAAGACTGCTTTACTCAGTCGTGTGCAACTCTTTTTCAGATGGGCTGACACTGCTTTTCATCTCGATTCCCATGTTGAATTAGAGAGCGCTCTCGGGCACTGCCTCAAACAAACCCTCAGGTGGCAGTGACAAAACTGTTACTCTTTTCTAAGGATGGCAAAACATGCATTTAGAAATATGCTAAGTAAATGAGCCCCAAATTTACTTTTCAGCTTATTTTTCTTAAGATCTTATTTCTCTTAATATTTTCTTACTACAAAAGGTGATTAGCAAAAGGAAATGACAAACAACAGGAGGCCTTTTCTAGGCAGATAGTTCAAATACTTTTCAAAGTTTATGTTACTTATGCCTGTGAATAGAATCAATGCTTATTTCAGCCTTCTTCTTTTTTTTTTAATAGCACAGCATAGTATTTTCTCCTGAAAGGAGAGATCCTTTAAGACTGAAAGGATCAGTCTTAAAATGACTGGCCAGGAAAAAAAATGAAGGTGTCATTATAAACTTCTGTGTTAGAAAGCTAAGAATGACAAAAGATATTCAGAGATGATCAAGTTAACATTTATGCATTTTAGAACTGACAAAAATTAACTAGCAGCTTTCTCTTTGCTGAATACCTAACCTTCAACTCATTCGGGAGGAACTGGTAGTTTCTCGAGAGCAGAATTAAGAGTGTGAGCAGGGGAGACAGCCGGAGCGGTGGGATGCCGGTGAGGCGAGCACAGCCCTCTGTGCTCCAGGAAGAGGTTTCACTCCCGACTGCCCCGGGGAACAGAAGCCCGTGGGGCCACTGCTGACAGCTAGGGCTGAGGAGGAGCGGGGCAAAAGCCACACATAAAAGATGTCAAGATGATTTATGTGTTACGGTCAGCTGCTGGTTTATACCTCTTTAAAAATATTCTATTTAGGCTGAAGCAAGGCTGGTCTAGCCCCAGAAATTACTTTTTCAAAATCTGAACAAGTATTTTTGAAGAATAAACGAGAGAATAAAAATACAACATTCTAGCTCAACAATACTTTATAAACAATTGAATGGAGCTATTTCAAGCACTGAATTCTCATTTGAGATCCCCATAGGATTAGCTTTCAGGCAAAGTTTGAGAAAAAGAAACAAAGTAGCTGACTGTAATTAGATCAAAAATACCACTTCCAAACCAGTGACTGTCTCTTCTATTTTAAAGAAAGAAACTGCATAATAAGTCTACCAAATAAAGTTGATTATAATTCTAATATTCAAGAGCAGAAAAGACCTGAAGAAAAATATCATGAAACTATAGATTAAGCAAAGATGTTAACAAAAATGGGCGAGAACAAGAAGGAAGATGGATCTGCCAGTTGGGACAGATAAGCAAAATCAGAGTTACGCAACACTGTACCAGACAGAGCAACAAACATCTGTGTATACTGTGAACTTAGCTACTATTGTTTTTGCTTTCTCACTTTTATTTGAAAGATTTTATTTATTTCTTTTTAGAGAGAGGGGAAAGGAGGGAGAAAGAAAGAGAGAGACATCAATGTGCAAGAGAAACATTAATCAGTCACTTCTCTCATACCACCAACTGGGAACCTGGCCTGCTACCCAGGCATGCGCCCTAACTGGGAATCGAACCAGCAACTTTTTGGTCCACAGGTCAGCACACAGTCAACTGAGTCACACCAGCTAGGAGCCTGTTCTCTTTTTTAGTCATCTTTATTAGGCATAATTTACATTTAGTAAAATTTACCCTTTGTCTTCTCTTTTAAGACTAACTGTTCATCCAGAATAGGTAGAATAAATAATTATGTAACAAAATCAAGCCTAATATGAAGTAAAAATAGCATCATTTTGCAATACATGTGGAAATAAAAATTTTTTCAAAAATTTTCCCCAAATTGCACATGATGGCAATCTATGAAAAATCACGAAGAGAATAATGTCAAATATGCAAATGCTGACCTGACCTCTAAAACAAAGAAGCAGCTCTATGATGTCAATCATACAGCAGCAAGACTGCTCCTGATTCTATGCTAAATTCTACAACCAACGATCACATGAATGAGTTAAAAGCCTAAGAAAGGAAAGAGATGGTTATGCTAAGAGGACTGACTACATAAGTACATGAGAAACAAGTCATGATAAAACGACCTTTTCTTTTCTGACTTGCTTAGCATTGGCAGCTCAGATGGATACAGGCAGAACTCCTCTAGACTTCAGCAAGGCACCTGACAAATGATCTAATGACAGATATCCCCTTGTAGACAAGACAGAACGGGGAACCAGACAGAATGACGTGACATAATAAACAGGTTAAGAGCTGCAAGTGTCCACGGCGCAGGGGGTGCAGTCTGGTCCCTGAACTTGTGCCGCTTTGTCCTTGGCCCTTCCCCGTTTACACTCTACCCGTAACTTGGACGAGGAGACAGTTGGCGTATTAGTGAAATGAAAGGAGAATACAAAGTGAAAATAATGGCAAGCAAATTTAATGACCAAGTCAGAATATAAAATGTTGTGAGAGTAAAAAATGTTGGTTGTCTCTCACACACCCCCAACCAGGGACCTGGCCTGCAACCCAGGCATGTGCCCTGACCAGGCTCGAACTGGCGACCCCTCGGTTCACAGGCTGGTGCTCAATCCACTGAGCCACACCAGCAAGGGCTGAGAAACATCTACTTTAAGAAGATGAACAGAAACAGAAACAAATGTAAAACCCCCTTTTGGTCCCAAAACAAAGTGCCTAAGTTCAGGATGGGAGAGGACGGCGACACCGCAGACCATGAACGAACGGGCACTGCGTGACAGAGAGCAATCTGAGCTCAGGGCGGCGGGCCTGCCGAGAGCACACGCCCGGAGCAGGCAGCACAGCAGCGCCGTCTGACTCTGCCAGACCACATCTGGTGGCCACGCTCGGTTTGCGCAAGCCACTTAAGACTTCAAGAAAGTAAGAAAGAACCTAGAGAGAGAGAGACAGGAATACAGTAATAGACTATTAGAATTAACTAAAAGATTCCCCACTAGGTGAGATGATAGACTTATCTTGTACAGACATGGGAAAAAATAGATTAAAAACAACAACAACAACAACAAAAACCCCCCCAAAACCAAACAGACAACCCCTCAACAACCAAATTTTCAGAAACTTCATTATGTCTCAATGACTAGAAGTGGTTAAAGAAATAATAACCTATTAGAAGGACCACAAAAGAGGATTTATAGAGAGAGGAAGAGATTAGCCATCCATGGCATTCCTTCAAGTTGGATTATCATATGATCCCATGGAAAACATGCAAAAATTAAACACACCTACACAAATAAGAATTACTATGTAAAGAAATACAGTAACATTAAAAACAGACATGATCAACAGACTTCACAACATGAGATAGATGAGTTAAAAAATTTTCAAAAGGGAGTGTATTAAGCTAATACCTTTCATAATGACTACATATTACTTATTAATTTCATCAAGGATAGTATTTAAAATGTGAAAACACTTAAAAATGCAAATTTTTGAATGGTAAAATGTAGGATATATCCTAACTTAAGTAGAGACCCAGGAAAATGGCTCATGTTCTGAGTATTTTTACTTGAATTTATGAAACCTAATCTTTTTATTTTTAAAAGGTTTTACTTATTTATTTTGAGAGAGAGGAAGACAGTAAGAAAGAGAGGGAGAGAAACATCAATGTGCAAAAGATACATTGATAGGTTGCCTCTTGCATGCCCCCAACTGGGGACCTGGCCCACAACTCAGAATGTGCCCTGGCTGGGAATCGAACTGGCAACCTTTCAGTTTGCAGGCAGGCACTCAATCCACTGAGCCACACCAGCCAGGGCAAAACTAATCTTATAAAAAAAATAGAAAAACAGACTTACAGAGTTACAAATATACATATATGTAAGAATACAAACAGCCCTGGCTGGTGTGGCTCAGTAAACTGAGCACCAGCCTGCGAACCAAAACATCGCTGGTTCAATTCCCAGTCAGGACACATGCCTGGGTTGTGGGCCAGGTTCCCAGTGGGGAATGCGTAAGAGGCAACCACACATTGATGTCTCTCTCCCTCTCTTCCCTTCTCTCTAAAAAGAAATAAATAAAATGTTTTAAATTAAAAAAATACAAACATTAAAATTAAAAACACCTATGGAAGTGAAAGGTTAACTATGTGAACTAAGGAAATCCCTCAGGAATCTATCTGGCAGAGCTATCACCGAAGGTACCGTAGTTGTTATACCTCTACCCAGTCAAAGATCTGTTCATCGTTCGCTTTGTCCTCAATGATGAGTTTCTCAAGCCGATTATACAGCTCTTCAGCAGAGAGTTCTTTCTTTGAAAGTGCTTCAGAGGAACAGGAACTGTCAGACTCTATAAAGTCCAACTTCTGAAACACACAATGTTACACATTAACATAATTTGTTAATAATAACTTATCAGAGTGGAAAACAAAGTTATGAGCTTTATTTTCAATTTTACATGGGATCGAAATGGTCAGAAGCCATTTTATATTTATAGATCTGGAAGATTCTCATACCACTATCCTGACTATTTCTCCAATTTCTCTTACTATGTATTTCTGATTCTACTTAAAAACAAGCAGATAAACAAAACTCCTAGAATTACTTCTCTCGGTATACTTACCTCTAAATCACTCTGGGCTTTAGTCTAGCTCTTAGCTGTGACAAGCTGCAAGGCAGGCAGAAGTACCAGCTAGGATACAATTTAACTCCTTATCTGCAGCCTATGGTTTATGCAGCCATCACCACACTGCAGCTGTCAAAACTCTTTGGTTTTGGTTTTGTTAAGTCCTTCAAACACTTCCTGACCGTTCTGAATGCAAGTGTGAGAAATGATGACATAACTGTTTTACTCTTAGATGAGTAGTTAAAAAAATCAGTAATCAAAATTATTGGTAAGACATTGCAGTATACGCTTTGCTTTGCTTTATTAAGCTTTGCTATGCAAAAATCATGAAGATTGCAATAGTAAAGATTATTAACATAAGTTTTTTCCTAATACTTTCAAAGACTGACATATTCTTATACCCTTCTTGGATTCACAAAAGAAAGAATTACCTTCAATTCTCCAAAAAAATTTTTCATACCAATATTTTAATTGCCTTTGCCAAATATGTCACCTTTCTAAATAACATTTTCTTATCAAGTTTCAGAAACATGATTCAATATTGCAATTTTTCTTATTCAAGGCTGAGAAATACCCAACTCCCCCCCTCCAACTTCAATATATACACAAAAGAACTAGATGATGGCCCTAAATTCTTTTAAGAACAGGCAATCACTTTTTTATAACCTTGAAACAGTCTCCAGATTTATTCTTACACTCTCAAATGTTAGAACACCACCTTAACCTACCCCAAACCCAAAGAAATAAGTTAATGTCTGAGAGCAATTAACAATAATAAAATCAAACATGAAGTACTATGCTTAATAATAATATATGATAAGAAAACTTGAAAATAAAAGCTTTAACACTGTTAAAAGGAGTCAGTGATGACCTATAAAATCTATTTTCATCCATGTAGAGTAACATTTGTTTCTCAGAACTCTTGTGTTTTTGTACAAGTTATTTAATTTTAATCTTGATTCTAGAAGGCTGGACTTGACAACATTTTTTTTTTCAATTTTTAAAAACACAATTTAGAGAGGCATGGGGAGAGGGCACGAGAGAGAGAGAGAGAGAGAGAGAGAGAGAGAGAGAGAGAGAGGGAGAGAGGGAGAGAGAGAGAGAGGGAGAGAGAGGGAAGTATTGATTTGCTGTCCCACTATTTATCCACTCACACTCATTGGCTGATTCTTGTGTGTGCCCTGACCGGAGATGGAACCTGCAACCTTGGTGTAGTGGGACGACACTCTAACTACCTGAGCTACCCAGCCAGGGTCTGGGCTTCAAATTTATGAATCAGTCCACCACTACCTCTTGCAGAATATACTAGGGTTCCTCAGAAAAGGGCATTAAATATCTACTTTAGAAGAAAGCTTAAAAGTCAAAATTATCAAAGTCCAAGTTTCTGGAACCTCACTTTTCTAATGGCTTTTTAAACATTTTAATTAATTTCAACAAGATTCACCATTTATTAAGTACTTCTCTATGCTTACTGTTTTAAAACATTATCTCATTATTCCCCACAAAAATTATATGATGTAGGCATTATTAACATTTCACAGTTGAGGGATCTGAAGCTTAGAGAAATCAAATTATTTTCTTTTGGCTTTAATTTTTATTGATTGATTTTAGAAAGTGAGAGAGAGAGAGAGAGAGAGAAATACCGATTTGCTGTTTCAGGCTGAAGAACGCCAGCATTTCCTGCAGGGCAGGTCTGTCGGTGACATACTCACTTAGCTGTCGTACCTTAGAATACCTTCGTTCCTTTTCATTTTAGAGGAAATATTGCCAGATGTAGAATTGTTGGTTTACAGTTTTTAAATTTTAGCATTTATCATCCCACTGTCTTCCGACCTCCATGGCTTGTGATCAGAAACTGGCTGTTATACTTGACCAATCACCTCTCTGGCTGCTTCAGATTTTTTCTTTGTATTTTAATGGTTTCATTATAATATATCTTGGTGTGAATCTCTTCGAGTTTTCCCTCCTTGGTGCTCACTAAAATTCCTGGATGTGTAGATCCATATCTTTGATCAAATTTGGGGAGTTTTTGGCCATTTGTTTCTTCCAATATTTTTTCTGCCCTTTCCCCCACTCCTCTCTCTCTCGGACTCCATGACGTGCATGCTGGTGTGCTCGACGGTGCCCCACGGGTCCTCAGGCTCTGTTAATACCTTAAAATTCATTTTTCTTTCTGCTCCTCAAACTTATCAATTTCTTCTTTTAAAGCATTTCTGTATGTTTAATGAATTAATTTTCCAATATTTTTAAAATAACTACAGGGACTTTTTTATTTTAAAAAATTAAATGCTATTCATAGTTTCGCAGAACAATACCAGGAGCTTCATTAGCAAAACAATAAAAGAATGTATCCTTCTGCAACAATTAAGGATCAGTCTTCATGGGAGTAAATTAGTCTAAATCAGTGACTCCTGACTGAACAATTTCAATTGCCCTATTTTCAAATTCTCCAATTTTTTCTTCCGCCTACTCAAAGCTGTTGTTGAACCCCTCTGCAGTCCTGCACTGCTTGACAGCAGGGATACATTTGATGAAACGCATCATTAGGCAATTTCATCATGCAAACATAGAGTATCCTTACACAGACTTAGGCTGTATGGTACAGTGAGCTGCTCACAGGCTACCAGCGGGTACCGCTGTACTCAACACTGCAGGCAGCTGTAACTCAGTGGTAGGTATTTGTGTACCTAAGAATATCTAAACACAGAAAAGGTACAATACAGGTGACCCTTGGACAACATAGGTTTGAATCGCACAGGTCCACTTACATGCACTTCCCCACGAATGAAGCTTGCAGGACCAGAAGTCGCTCTGGGTGAGCAGTGAATGAACTTGAAGGCCTATGACATTACTATATGCTACTGTAAACTTCATAAACACCCTACACTCAGACTACACTAAATTTATAAAAATTATTTTTTCTTCAATAATAAATTAACCTTAGCTTACTGTAACTTCTTTACTTTGTAAACTTTAATTTTTGAAAACTTCTGGACTTTTGTAATAACAGCTTAAAAACACAAAACACTGTACAGCTGTACAGAAATATTTTCTTTATACAATACCATTATCATAAAATTGCTTTCTTTTTAAATTTCTGTTAAAAACCTAGAACACGAACACACACATTAGCCCAGGCCGACACAGGGTCAGGATTATCAGTGTCACTGTGCCCCATCTCCACATCTTGTTCCACTGGAAGGTCTTCAGGGGCAGTAACATGCATGGAGCTGCCACCACCTGTGAGAGCAATGCCTTCCTTCTGAATACCTCTGGGAGGAAATTTAGGTGTCACTCTCCTAAGAAACATGTCTGTGGTGGTTTGTTTGTTTTTTTTTCCCATCACAGATTTGCTTGTAAGCAGATAATGCACTATGAACACTCTTCTCTATTAAGGAAAACCCTCAGTGTTGGGTTCCATTTTATCAAACTTTTTAAGGAGCTTGCTGAGGTCTTCAAATGCTTCAGCTAAAGCCTTCACTGCAAACCTTCTTGAGGTTCTTTTCCTTCTGCGGTCTCCTTTTCTCTTGCCTCCTTCCCAGCCATGTGTTCCTGTTCTGGTCAACTCCTCAGGAACCACCTCTAGGAGCACCCCGATGCCATCCTCACTCACCTCCAGGTTAAAGTTGTTTGTCACCTCAATCACAGCCTTGTTGACTTTCACAACCTTTGCCTGACAGTATGACTGCTACGGTGTCACTAGGTGACTGGGATTTCCAGCCCCATTATAATCTAATGGGAACACTATCATATATGTGGTCCAGCTTTGACCGCAATGTCATTAAGTGGTGCATGACCATAGTTAATTTTTATTTCAGCTATTATACCTTTTCAGCTCCAGATTTTGCTTGATTCTTATTTATAATTTCTACTTCTTTATCCATATTTCCAAGTTGTTCTTACATCATTCTCCTGATTTCCTTTAGTTCTTTTTCCATGATTTCCTTCGGCAATTTGAGCATATTTAAGACAGTACATGTAAAGTCTTTGTCTAGTATGGCCAATGTTTGGGCTTTCCTCGGGGATGCTTTCTGTCAATTTCTTTTTTATCCCTGTGAATGAGCCATATTTTCCCGTTCCTTTGTATGCTTTATAATTTTTTATTGAGAAGTTGACATTTTGAACACTGTAATGTGTTAACCTGGGTAGCATTCTCCCCCTTCCCCAGAGGTTGCTGATGTTGTAGTCATGTGTCTATTTGATGACTTTTACACACAAGGGCTACGTTCCTTCTGGTGTGTGGTCCTTGAAATCCCTGATTTATTAATTCTGCAGTCAGCCAGTGACCTTCCAAAGATTTCAGTGAATGCCTGGATCCAATGAGAAAAAGAGATGGATGTGGGGAATACACAAGTGTGTTATTTCTTTAAATTCTTTGTCAGACACTATCCAGGAAACTGCTTTAGCCTAAAGCATTACAACAATGGCCAGGCCCTGCACCAGACCCCGGGGACCGACAGAAAGACTAAAAGACACAACCAATCACTGCAGGACTAGTCTTGATTGCTCTACCTGGCTGAAGGAAAGAGGTGCTGCCATCTTCTCAGCTGTTTGCCACTGGGCTGGGGGCTAGTAGTGTCCCATGCAACGTGCTAAAGCATCAAAATTTACCAGTCTCTATTTTTTTCATCAAGCATTCCACTGCTGTTGGTAGTGCACAATTCCAAAATAGCTGGTTTTAATAGATCTTGCCAGCTCAACAGCTGTTTTAGTGGAGGAACTTATTCTGGAGCTTTTTAC